GTGGGGCTGGAAGGGATGAATAGGTGGTAGCAAGCACAGAGAATAAAGATGTGAAACTATTTTGTATGGTACTGTAATGTTATATATGTGTCATTATACTTTCTTAAAACCCATAGAAGGTACTACATAAACAGTGATCCCTAATGTAAACTATGGACTTTAGCAATACTGTATCAATATGAGCTTGTTAATTGTAGTGAATGTACCATGCTAATACAATATGTTAATAATTGGGGAAACTGGTAGGGAGGGAGAAAGGGATGTATGGAAACTCTTTGTAGTTGCCACTCATTTTTTATCTGTAAATCTAAAACTGTTTTGAAAAATGTATATTCTTTTTAAAAAATGTATTTTTCGGAATAGAAAATAATTTAGACATTTGAAATAACCACAGATTTATCTGTAAAATTTTTAATTCATTTTTTAGTTTGTATCATTCTCCATTTATTTATTTTCTGACTTGCATTGGGAGAAACAAATTGTATTTCTGACATTGATTTATATTTCTTTTTTATGAAGTGTTTCCTTAACAAACCTCATTGCTCTCTCATTAAAACTGTATTTTTTCCTATGACTTTGAATTACCTGATAGAGTGATAGAATATTTAACTTTTTCTGACTGTCTTAAACAGCTTTCTTTATACTGGTGATCTAAACTGATGTAAGCACCTTATGTCCTTACAATTCATGAAGGCACTAGTATAGTCTATGTTGAAATTTGCAAATTAGCAGTTTTGTCACGTAACGTTTCAAAGACTTATTTTACTGGTTGCTTTCTAGGATTTTCAGATAGAAATTGTAAGAGAATTTTTTTGTTTTTTCTTTGAAATTCTAAGATAATTTATTCATTATTTTTCACTTAATAAACATAAAGGCAACTTACCTGCATTTAAAAAATATTAAGCATGATGTAATCCTTTTATCTCAGAATACTCAAGATGGCTTTATTAAGGTAAATTTTGTTATTAATAGTTAAGTTTAAAATGTAAAAAATGTGGAGAGTATGTCTGTGGTTTTGCTTATGCTAACAAATATTAAGAGAGATTGCAATGAATTTAAGAATCATTTTTGAATATACTCATAAGCAATGTAACTTGCTTGCATTTATGATATGGGACCTGGTGTTCAACTTCTGGAGCATATATATCACTGTTTTGTTTGCAGATTTTGCTTTTCAATTATGTGTATTATGATAATAAGCCTACATTTGGGAACTTCAACAGGTATTTCTGCCAATGGATAGGAATGTATACATAATGTGAATTTTAATAAATAGGGAAGAAAATGTATAATACTTTGGAAATGAGAAAATTCCGGAGTTGCCTTCCTCATGTTTATTTTTTGTATTTGTATGCTGTTAGTGATCCATCACATTTGCTGTCCATGGATTTCTTATGCTATACGGAAACTCCAGAGTACAAGTTACAGTTTTTTATATATTCTATATGGTCCGAGGTGAATTTATGGGAATGCATTTTTTTTTTTTTGAGAGGAGAAAAGATAGGAAACCTTCAAAAATTGTCATGCTCATAATTTGAAAATCTGTTTTTACTTTTTGATGTTATGTTTTTCATACTGCCCATTAAGCATATTATAGATTTATGATCACTGATGTATGTGCTAATAGGAATGTCAGTAACTGTTTAGGTTAGTAAATCCCAAAAGATCTCAATAACTAATTCATTGTAAATAATTTTCTGTAGTGAGGGTCACATAGCTGTGAAGCCATTGATAGACTTCTAAGTATGCCTAAAGACTCAGAGTTTAGTTAAAACAACAACAGAAGGAGGTGACCATTTTTGCTCCATTTTTTAGGGTTTTTAAATTTGTTTTTGAGTCAGAGTCTTACTCTGTTGCCCAGGCTGGAGTACAGTGGCACAAACACGGCTCATTATAGCCTTGACCTCCTAGACTCAAGTGATCCTCCTGCCTCCAGCCCTCAGAGTAGCTGGGACCACAGGGACGCACCACCACACCCAGCTAATGTTTTAGTTTTTGTTTTTTGTAGAGATGGGGTCTCCCTCAGTTGCCCAAGCAGGTCTCGGACTCTTGGACTCAAGCCATCCTCCTGCCTTGGTCTCCCAAAGTGCTGGAATTACAGGTGTGAGCTACCACACCAGCCGAAGGGTAACATTTTTAAAGAATTCATTCAGAATCACAACACAGATGTATTTCATTATTAATATGGAAAAAGTTCCAAGGCAAATGCCCAAGCTCTTCCTTCAAGTTTGTGTTGCGAAAGAAAGGAAAAAAGGAGTTTTTATTTCCCAGAAATTATCCCTAGGGGAAAAAAGAAAAACTTGTAGTTTATCTGTGGAATCAAAAATTCAATTCAAGTTTTTAAAAAATGTATTTTAAAATTCTGGCTAATATGGTGAAACCCCATCTCTACTAAAAATACAAAAATTAGCCATTCGTGGTGGTGGGCACCTGTAGTCCCAGCTACTCGAGAGGCTGAGGCAGCAGAATGGCATGAACCTGGGAGATGGAGCTTGCAGTGAGCCGAGATGGCGCCACTGCACTCCAGCCTGGGTGACAGAGTGAGACTCCGTCTAAAAAACAAAAAAAAAAATACATACATATATATATATAAAATGTGATTATAACTATAGATGATATTTTACCCTCTGTGTAACACTTTAAGATTTGCATATGTATTTGTGTCTTTGACCAGTTTTAATGAGTGATTATGTTGGAGTCAACATAACTTTTGTTTCAAATTAGATTATAAAATTGTTGGTGACTTTCTCAAGAAGGAAAGAAGCTAGCAGGAAAACTGGAATAGGGTGAGATTCTGACATTTTGTATATGGGTTGTTTTTAAAATACACTTGATCTTTAATACATAACATGGTAAGCCATACACTAAAGACAAATTGTTGCCGTTATCTTAGCATATTCCACGCTTCTATATTTTTTACATACAGATTGTTCTTAAAGAATCCTTAATTTTATTGGCATTCATACATTTTTTTAATCTGTGATTATCTTTTTCCAGTTATAAACTATGAAATGCATTTAGTTTTTGGTTACTGTTTGTTTTTACTTTCTCCTCCGTATCTTCACAGCCTGAAATTGTTTTTCAAATGGTTAAGCTGGACTCCTACTCAAATATAGATATTAAGTAAAAGTAAAAAATTATTGCACTTATATGTGGTAGGGAGTAGGGATTCAAAGATCGGAAGATATGGTTCTTGCATTCGAAAAGTTGGGTAGGCTGACCTAAAAACATACAGTCCATGAGAAATAGATTGTAAGCTTTGCAAAAGTGGGAATTCTTGTTTGTTTTTGTTTATTGCTGTGTTGCCAGTAAAGTAAATAATTGTTTGGGAGAGTTAGAAAAGCCTCTCAGGGACTGGGCATGGTGGCTTATTCATGTAATCCCAGTACTTGGGAGACCAATATGAGAGGGTCGCTTGAGCACAGGAGTTCGACGCCAGCGTGGATAACATAGCGAGACCTTGTTTCCACTCAAAATAGAGGGGGAAAAAAAAAAAAAAAAAAGCCAAGCATGGTGACACATGCCTGTGGTCCCAGCTACTCTGGAGGCTAAGGTGGGAGAATTGGCTTGAGCCGAGGAGTTCAAGGTTGCAGCAAGCTATGATGATGCCACTCCTGCCTAGACAGCAGAGTAAGACTGTCTCAAAAAAAGAAAAAGAGAAAAAAGCTTCTCAGATGAGATGGTACTTCAAGTATGAAGGAGTATGTCAGGAAGAAAGAGACACCAAGGACATTAGCAACATACAAAGACATGATGTGATGGTGAAAGAGAATGAAAATTTTAAGGAACTTTGTAAAATTCTGAGTGATGGCAGCATGGGAGGACAGTAAAAGAAAACAAAGTCTTACTGAGTGGTAGCTTGTAGGCAAGTCTTAAAGGCCTTGTGTGCGTTGTGTAATAATCTAAGGAATTTAAACTTCAGGGAACCAAGTCTGTCCAGTAATCAGGGAAACTCAGGAATTTGAAATGATGTTAATATTCAAACTATTTATTTTACCACCATTGCTATTACACTGGATATTATTCAATATTGTTTCTTTCAAGTCCTTGATTCATGTGTAACAATAACTATAACTTAATCAAGAATCCTTGAAATAAATGTTTTTTTTAAAAAATCTCTGGGAGGTATAAACTTGATTATTTCTAAGTGAACTATAATTTATCTTTAATTTTTGTGAACTAGGGACTCTCCTAAGAAATTATCAAATACAACTACAAATGCAATTTTTAAAAAGTAATCCAGTTTAAAGTTATCTTTGAAAACAATTTTGTTTTTGTGTTTATGATTTGAATAAGCACAAAATTATCTATTTGTATCAAGAACCCAATTTTTCATGCTGTGCAAATTGTGTTTTCTATAAATGTTTCTATGTAAAAATTTTAATTATACTCTTATACTTTATTATAAAAGATACTGATTTGATTAGCATTCTCTTACCAGAAACATATACTAGCCATGAGATTAAATCCTTTTGACTATGAATTACCTAAAAATTTCTAAGAAAGACCATTGAGTGATTTAGAAAACTTTGTTAAACAGTATGAAAGTAGTAATGATTTGTTCTTATAATTCAGCCTTATTAAGAAGAATGGCTCAGGATTGCCTAGAGATATGCCCAAATATTGTTCCAAAAGTTTCTTTGAATTATTAATATTGAGTTATTTTCAATGTTTCCATTCAGTGAATTTCTCAACCCTTGGTTTTGAGAACATAATGCTAATTAAGGTGTCTGCTGTTGTTTAATGCTATTCCATTGTAACTGCTAATAATAGCATTTTCCTGCTTTATATAAAAAAATTATATTCAAAATGTATGTGTGTTCTCTGATTTCTTTTCTTACAGCTTGCCAGTATTTGCCGTGCTGAAATGTTTTAATTTATAATTTCCTTCCTTTGTACCTTTTAGTTTTCTCTGTTGCTGCTTTTTCTGTGACACGAGCCTTTCATTATAGTCACTCTTCTTTTTTCCTTCCCCACTTCTTTCTTTTCCTTTTTTAAAGCCATGAGAAGCCGATCCATTGGTGAATGTGCTCTGCCATCGGCCTATATACGCAGTGCTAAAAGTGCTCCTGTTCTGATCCATACTTCCAAACCCTTCTTGCCTGATATTGTTCTCACTCCCCTTTCTGATGAGCTTTCAGGTAGTGCCACCTCTGCTAATTTCTGCACCACCTTTTTCACTTTTTAATCCTCTGCTTTCAAATTTTGCTTAATCAAATAAACTCTTTAAAGTTAATTTCTTTGGGGGAGGTGTGGGAAACTGGGAAAATGATTGAGAAATCAACATTTTGAGTTATTTGAAGTCTAATGCTGTCCTTGCAGTTCATTCTGGAAGTGCTAAGTTTAGTGCTGTGCCAATGTCCAGTATTTTTGGTTGTAAATGGCCAATTTTTTTTTTTTTTTTTTTTTGCTCATGTTTTTTTCTTCCTCTCAGGTGGTTAAAAGAAGTAGTAGTATATATTTATATCATAGATGTCTTGTAAAAGATGACTTAGAAAGATAATCAACACTGACTTTTAATTTCCCATTGTTTTGACTGACAATATGGTAAATCTTGAATAATTTATTCTGCATTGTCTATAGGAATGGAACTAAGTAAGGGCAATCAGTATTTGGGAAAAGTATATAATCTAAAAGTTGCTTTGGAATAAATCTTTGTATTTATATTACATGTAATCATATATAGAATTCTAAGGACTCACTCATTTTTAAACCATTCTGTGAAGCCCTGACTTCCAAGGAGCCTCAAAACCTGCTTAGCTTTCCGGTTCTGCCTCAGGTCCTTGGTCTCCAGTACTGGGATGGTCTGCTCTTTCATTAAACTTTAATTAACATGTAATAAAATATATAGATCCATAGACTCAGTTGAATGAGTTTTGAAAATTGTACACACCCCTATTAACCATCACCACAAACAAATTATAGAACATTTCCACTACCTCAGAAAGTTTCCCAGTGACCTTTTTGAGTCAGTCACCACGCACTCCTCCCCTCCACACAATTATAACAACTTTTTGCTGTTCATCACCATAGATCAGTTTTGTTTAAAAAAAAATTTGGGGCATAAGTAAAATCATACAATGTGCAAATTGTGCTAACTCAAAGAAACCTACTTGTTTTGTTAACTTTGGAACCATAATATAATTAATTATAATGAAATTGGAGTTGATTTTTCAGTTTAATCGATGACAATAATAGAAAAATTGGCCTCAACCCAAACCTTAATATCCAGTAAGTATTGATGGATGATGAATGGATGTATTTCACACCAGTAAAATTAAGCAACCTGAATATTTTAAGCTACCAGTGCAGAAAATTAGTAAGATTTAAAAATATGTAGATGTGATAATATGAATTTTAATAGATGGTAGGAAATAGCACACAATTTTGTTACATATGATGCTTAGCTACAAATAAAGAATTAGAATATTTTTGTCTCTTTAGTTCTCCATTTAAGCACTGTACCTCCTTATGTGAGTGGCACAGATTTTGGCTGCTTACATCAAAGTATAATCTAGTTACTTAAGATGGCAAACAATGTTTCTGTTCTTAAAACTGAATTAGATACAGCTAAAAGAAACTCTGGGTTTTTTTGTAAACTTCTCTTGGATACATTTTTTGCTCCTAGCTTTTATAAAAGACATACTTAGAACATTTAATGCAAACCATTCTTGACATGTTTAGAAAAATTAAAATGAGCTTTGGCCACTTCCATTATTATTTTATTCTATTCGTTTATTTATATTAAGCACAGAATTTGAATTCTTTTGGCCACTAATTCTTAAAAGTTTGATTGGATTAGACATTCCACTACTGTCTTAAAAAACTGTCGAAAGATTTATTTTTTTCTCCATATCTTAAAGGATTTACAGAATTTCTCATTTGTACCTTAATGTTTTGACAAATATTCATGTTAACTGCTAAAACATTTTTGAATAGCTAAAACAAAGATAAGGTTGTTCCTTTCAAAATATTTTAGATTGGTGCTATACCCAGGATGAGAAGTTCTTATTTCAGAATTCTTGTTTTGCTGTAAATACATAATTCAGAAAGTTTACCTTTTTAATGCTTTTATGATTTAAACATTTATGAACACTGTTTGAAAGGAATTTTCTAAATGGCAGTTTTATTTGTTGTATTCCTTTTCCCTATCTGGGGTAATATGCTTTCTATGATAAATTTAAAGATTTAGATAATGTTGAGACATCAGTCACTAAAACAAAACAAACTTTGTATCTGATTATCAAAATAATGTTCATTTTAGAAAACATGGATTACATGGAAAAGCATATGAAAAATATACATAATCCTCCAAAACCAGTGATAATTTATTGACGACTTCAGATGCTTTTACTGCCAGTTTTTTATGCTTGTGTACATTTAAAATATAAAAACATAATTACAGTTAGTTTTGAATTAAAAATCATGTTTTCTCTTAGAATAAGAGGCAAGGAACCTGCCACTTTAAAATAGCAGCAAAATCCCTCCTTTCCTGATAACTGACTTGTGAATGAAGTCAGGATTTTTCAAGCTGATGTAAATTTAGAATACTTTCCAGGAGATGCAAATTGGTGTATAGAGGAAAAGATTAAAGATTCATAGTGCAAATCAACATATTAAAGACCCTTAGAAAACCTGTTAAAAAAACAAAACTGTTGGCCTGGCGTGGTGGCTCACACCTGTAACCAGCATTTTGGGAGGCCGAGGCAGGCGAATCACGAGGTCAAGAGATCAAGACCGTCCTGGCTAACGCGGTGAAACCATGTGTTATTGATATCCTGTGATATTGATATCCTGTGCCATTAAGGTTCCAGAGAGAACCAATATGAAAATTAAACAGGATTAATCTTACACCAGTTTACATTGTAGAAATCTAAATTATTGGATTGGTTTTTGCCTCTGCAATTCTTAGAGGCAAATTAAAGGCTTGGAGTTTGCTTCTTCAGGTGTTAGGTGTACAGCGAAGAAGAGAGGAAGAGATAAGAGAAAATGTAGGGGTTATAAGAATAGAGATTTGTAAAAATAGTGCTAAATTAAAAAACAAAAATCACCAAAATCTTAGATCATCAACCAGTCATACTTTTTAATTGCTGATGTTTCTTCCAAGGTTTGAGTAAATTTTACTTTAGAATAGTTTAATGTACAGAGAATTAATAAGAAAGTGAACTGTATGAAGGGGAAAAAGTAAATGGTTTTTCATGCTTTTGTAGCTCTCCCTCATGTGAATTGGCTTAAACGAACTCATAAAATATTTCCTGAGTGTATCTCTGAAATCAGGAATCGAGGTTTCTTCAAGCACTTCACCAAAAAAAAAACCTCAGTGAAACAACTCGTAGACAATCTACTTCTAGCTTACAGTTAAAGGTAGAATTTGTCAGAAAAATATTTTTCGGATACTTTCCGATAACAGGAGAGGTAAAAGGAAAGTCCTTTTAAATCCTTTTTTTTTTTTTTTTTTTTTTTTAACGTACTAAATCTATGAGAAAGGACCATGAGTTTTTTAAGTATTAAGTATCCTGCTTGGTTCCCAGCCCTTTTTTCCTTCTCCAGTGTTCTTGCTGTAACTGTCTGTACTACCTGCATTGTTGTAAGTATGATGCTATATGATAGAGCTTTATATACAGCTATAGACTAGTGTAGTTGAACAGTTGAGTATTCTTGAAGAGTTAAATTTTTTTTTTTTTTTTTTTTTTTTTAATTTGCTCTGTTGCTTAGGCTGTAGTGCAGTGGTGCGAACATGACTCACTGCAGCCTTGACTTCCCTGCCTCAGCCTCCCATGTAGCTGGGATCATAGGCACATGCCACCACATCTGGCTAATTTTTTTATTTTTTTATAGAGACAGAGTCGTAACCCAGGGAATTTCTGAACATGAAGTTGCCCAGGCTGGTCTCAAACTCCTGGTCTCAAGCGATCCTCCCCACATTGACCTCCCAAAAGGCTGGGATTACAGGCATGAACCACCACACCCAGCGCTTAAAGAGTTTTTCTTAAGTTCTGGGGACCAGTTTGAGGGCACTGTGTCAATGCACTGTTTCTTAACATCAGACTCATCTATAACAGCTTGAAAAATATGCATCAAATTTGATACAATATGTTGGCTTGCACAAACATCTAATATAATTTATTCTGGTGTCTGGGCAAGTTCACTCCTTGACCGGCCTCTCATTGGCCTTTGATAATCACTTATTTGATAATTACTGTGCTAGATTGTATACGTTTGGTAACCCAGCCTGACAGTCATTATTTTCTTGATAAATGGTTAAGAGAGAAGCCAGAAATCTGAATCATTATTCTTAAGCAAATTGCTTTTACTGCCAAAAGTAACACTTTAGTGAAAAAAGGGATATAAAAGAGTATAAACATGGTAGGCAGCTTTATGTATACTTCCACACGTTTCTTATTATTTTCTAATCCAGTACTATGAGTTTCTCATCCTGAAATTAAGCTTACAGACCCAATTTCTTTCAACCAGTTCCCAAAACTTATTTGTCATTTTTGTTGCTAGTGGACTCTGGTCTATCTAGGCTGTAGTATGTAGACTGCTAATGTTGGGGACCGATCTCTTTTTATTAACAAAGCTTTATTATTTGAATTGAGCTCCTTATACTTCTGTTTTGTGACTGTTATCAACCAAAAATAAAATGATATGTCTCACAGGCCTATCCTTTTCCTAAATTCTGCCCATTATGGAGAATTTTTCATCTCATCAAAAAAGTAGGCCCTTCTTTATACAATCAAGAATTTTTTCCTGTCATCAATGTACAAGAGGATATTAATATTTTACAAATTTTTCACTTGTAATCTGCTGATTGTAGCATAATTCCAATTAGATTTTTTTTTAAGAGATAGGGTCTCACTGTGTTGCCCACACTTGATTGCTGTGGTGCCATCCTAGCTTACTGCAGTCTGGAACTGCTGGGCTCCAGCAGTCCTCCCACCTCAGCCTCCTGGCAAATTTTTTTTTTCCTGGAATAATTTACGTTAATTTTTTTGAGACAGAGTCTTGCTCTGTTGCCTAGGCTGGAATGCAGCGGTGTGATCTTGGCTTACTGCAACCTCTGCTTCCTGGGCTCAAGCAATTCTTGTACTTCAGCCTCCTGAGTAACTGGGACTACAGAAGCCTACCACCACGCCCAGCT